ATACTTATTTGTTTCATTGATAATTAAAATATGCTAAATTTTAATAAAATGTTTAATTTAATTATCAATTATATTTGGAAAAAAATACTAATTAGTTAGGATATGTGTAATCGGTTTCCATTTTTATGTTAAGGGTTTTCATGTGGATCGATTTCCTTTATAATTCTCCATTGTGAATCGATTTTTCATGTGGTTTGAAACTGTTATGGGTTTGTAATCAATTTCCATGTTGCTGCTATAGAACAAACGAGTTTTATTTTATGTTTTTGATGATGTTTTTGGTTCAATTAGAGTGTGTATCTGTGGTGAAATCACAATATGCGTTTCTATTGTCCATTTTCCAAATCACGTTTTCATGTATTACCTGTATTACCATTTTATCACCTTGGTTTCAAATATCACTTTTTGTGGGTTTTCATCTTTGCTTGTGTTAATCGAAAGGATGATAGTTTAACATACTGATATATTCATATTATTGGATCAGGTGGCCAAAGATGAAGGATTTGAGCTACCGTCACCAATGTCTACATTAAACGTTCATCATGGCATGGTTAAAGACTTCTATATTTGTTCTTTGTCATATAGGTTTGTCCTTTAGTTCTTGTTGATAATTGTTCATATTGTTACTATTAATGGGTTGTAAAAATGCAAAATCCATTTTTATCATCAGATGTTGAAAACCTTGCATAGGTTTTAGCTTTTAGATGTTGAAAACCTTGCAGAGGTTTTTTCTTCATACTTAAAATATTATTTTTATCATCCATCAAATACCAGATCTTTTTCATAATCTTTCAGGAGTTCACGTAGTGATTTTTGATAAACAATACTTCCTTATTTTTGTTAGTTGGGAGGGGTAATCTGTTATCTACTATTTGGTTCTAACTTAGTGTAGAAGAACCTTTTCCACCTTAATTGTATCATCATATAGTTTATAGATTAATATTTTCCTTTAACCTGTTAACAAATTGATGGCGAAAATCTTGTTGAACGGTTTTCGTTTTACCGTGGAACTGGGATTTGGTGTGCACATATGATGATTAGTATCTCTCCTTCCAGGTTTGACCTCATTCAAGTTCACACTAATCTAGTGTGTTCTGGTTTTGATTTCTTTAAAGGGTCTTGTGAACACGTTCTTGCGTAACATGTAAGTACTATGCATTCAATTTACAAAAAACAGATACTAAAATCGGTACATGCTAATAKTAGAGTTGGCTTGAGTTAGGAGTAGCTTGGAGTTTTTTAGACGGCAAATAGCAAAACAAAACACATGGCTTTCATTATTTTGTATTTAAATCAAGGTACCGATATTATATATCTAGCTGATATTGAAAATTATTTTGTGGTTCTTTTTCTCTCAGATATGAACAATTGATTTCATATAATGCAGTTGCCACGATAACTTGATTCTTACTCAGGCCATATATTTCTATGTTGCTTTCAAGATTTCAGTCTTGAACAACTGTTTTTTTTTATATTCTTGTTTGAGAATCCATTTGCCAAGATGATTTGTTTTTGTGCATAATTTGGATGGATTTTTTGCAAAAAAAAAAAAAAAAAAAAAACTTTTGCAATTTCATATCTTGCAATCAATCTTAAACATAAGTTAAAATATTGTGAAAAGTTATTAAATTAATTTATTAAATAATTGTGAATAAACTACAACAATTAAATTAATTTAATAATTGTTTTTAGCCTTCCTTATGGTTGCTAAATGACGGCATTAACTCCATGCACCTTGAGTGCTATGAGGGTGGTGGGTGTTTATTTATAGAGTTACAAAAACGTGATATATTTATATGAGGGAGACTAATTGCACCCCTATACATTGCTAAATGCATCTCTCATAGCATTTTCCTCCTCACACACATCAACATAAAAACTCACTTTTTTACATTCCCAAATCCTAATGCATGAATTAACCCGATTTTGACATTGGGAGGGTGGATACATATCTTTTCAAGATTCGTTTGTTACGTGAATCACTTTGTGCAGGATGGGACACAATTAAAGATTTAGGGTTTAGGGTTTTGTTTTATGTTGAGGAGGTTGTATATAAAGCTTTGACCAAGTAAATGCTTGTCGGGTGCTATTTTATCTAATTGAATTAGTATGACAAGTACCAAGAATTTTACCTGGTAGATAAGTGAAAATACTCTAATTCAGTAAGCACTTACCGGATGTCGTATCGAAGGTAAAATAACCATTATATTTTATTTTTGCAACAAGATCTCGATCCATTGGTTTATATTTCTAGGTTATAATTAGGTCCTGAGCAATTATAGTTTGTTTGTTTTTATCGCTTTTTAGTTAATAGTCTATAACTCTGTATGTTATATGTTACTGTCAATCATGTTAAGGTTTGTTTTATGTATCTAATGGTACCCGTTATATGTTGCTTCCCATCCTATTCTAACTCTATCAACTTTTTGTTTTCTCCATTATGGATATCTCTTCATGAAACATTATTTTCTAGAAAATACAAAAGAAATATTGTATTTACATATTACAAATTCTAATACAATCACTCATTGAAACCTCCCAATTAAATCAAAAGATCTACTTTTATATAGGGTATTTTGATGCAGTGGCAAAGATTGTTAGAGGATCAAGGTGCTTATGTTAAGTTTCAGATCAAAGTCTTTACGATAATATTCTTAAATCCTTGATATTGGCCGACTTGTAGTTGGTCAAGTTATTTGAAAAGCATGTGCCCGAAATCTGGTAAACGAGTGCCACCATGTCGATGGCGTTGCCTAATCGGATGGTCATAAGTGGAGGTACTGTATTTATGAAGAGCTTGGCAAGGGACGACTCAAGAGTGTTTTGAGTCAATGTGACGGAGGTTTCTAATGATTAGGAGGCAGCTCGTAGGGCCTGACGACAATTTCCTGACGATAGAGTAGATCGAAAATACTCCATTGTTTCATTCTTGTTTTGTGACTCTTGGTGTCTTTTTGATTAATTCTTGATCGAATGATCTTAGTAATTATATATTCTTTTTCTAAAGATTAGAATTATATTCACATAATATTGCAACGTGATGTCTCAATAATGAAGCTAAGAACTTGAACCCTTTTTTTAATCCACGTTTTTCTGAAGATTTTGTTCCTCCTCATATTTATTATATGGTTTTAAAAAAGTGAAAAAAAAAAACTCGGTTGGTTATCAATTTTATGCACCATTTTGGTGTATTAGGTGTTGTTTATCCAAATGCTTAGCCGGTAAGTGCTTACCTATAGGAGTCAACACTACAATTTATTTTGATGAGTAAGATTTTAGTAATATCAAAACGTATTGAATGCAACAATTTACTAGGTAAGCGCTTACGTGAGTAAGAGTCGTAATCTTCATTTACCGGGTAAGAGTCTTCATCTTTCTCATCGCTCTTACCCGGTAAGATTATTTGCCCTTGTCATGTTCATCCGATGAGAAAATTTACTCGGTAAGCACTTACCAAGTAAGCGTTTAGTAAACGACCCTTAGTGTAACTCAACATTTATTTATTTATCAGTTAATTTTATGGAATTCAAAAAACAGAACTTTAAATTTTGTATGTATTTAATAATAGTTATAAACTTTATCGTTTCAGATCAAAGCACGATATAAGTACCAATAATAACGGCTAATTTTGTATTTTAATCCGTAACTTCTTAAAATATAACAATTCAAACCATGTGTAGCTCATTTATGATGAAATTTTATATAAAATTGTTGATAATTTATAATTTGTAAACGTAACAAAATTTAATATTTCATGTATTCTCCTAATTTGACAACTTTGTCCAATAATAAAATAGAACCATTACTTGATTAACTCAAAGGGTAAACGTTATGTGACAATATAAAAATAAGATGATAATAATATATGGTACCATACTTTAAAATATATATTCTAAATGTTTATTTATTAAAACTTACTTGATAAGAGTTTTCAGCTAACGACCTCGTCTCGTATAGTATCAGGTGTATACCATCCTCTCTTCATGAAATTATGCACTTACTTGATGGGTATCGGAGTAGCAACCAGAGGTGTTGCCCTAAGCAATGTAATTCCAAATATGCAATTCATGTCGATTTCTTCGTTAGCGTGTGGAAGCTTCCAATCAAAATGATAAACAAAGGATGCCACCATTAAACTCACCACCCTACGAGCTAAGGCAATTCCGGGACACATCCTTCGTCCCGATCCAAATGGTATAAACTCAAAATGTTGTCCCCTGTAATCAATCTTGTTTTCCAAGAACCTCTCAGGCATAAACGTCAACGGGTTTTCCCAGTACCTTGGGTCACGTGCCATGGCCCATGCGTTCACCATAATTTGGGTGTTTTTTGGGAGAACGTATTCACCGATTTTAACATCAGTCTCTGTTTTGTGAGGCACTAACAGAGGAACGGAAAAATGAAGTCGCATCGTTTCTTTGATAACAGCTTGTAGATAAGGCAAGTTGATGACTTTGGCTTCTTCAATATTTCCATCTTTCCCCACTATCGTGGAGACTTCTTGGCGGACCCTTGAGAACATATGAGGGTTAAGCAACAATTCGGTCATTGCCCATTCTGTTGAGTTTGCACTTGTTTCTGTTCCTGCTAGAAATAGATCCTGTAGTTTAAACAAAATAATGTTATCCAATTTTTCTTAGCATCATAAGATTACTCGATAACTTACAAATTATGTTTTGGTAACTGAAAGAAACGGGATACGAGTGAGGCAAAACCAACCTTGTTGCCTTTATCATAAATATATAAACCTCACTACCAATTCGATGCTAATACACATCAACATCGTGCTTCTCCTTTTGTATTTTTGTAATGTCACTGACTGTATTAAAAGAGGTTCAAATAGACACATGGGTTCTAGTTAACGAATTAAAGTTTATTGTTCTGGATACAATTCAAAACCGAAGCGGCATTTGATTCGCTTAATGTTTTCTAAAGAAATAAAATATGTTAAAGGACTTGGAATTAGACAAAGATTTAAATGAAACGTTATCAGGTTTGTTTGACCAGGTATTTGGTTGTCATGAAATGAAATGTCTTAGGGGTCGTTTACCAAACACTTACCCAGTAAGCGCTTACCAGTAAAATTTAACACTATCAATTACCTACCGGGTCAGATTTTAGTTCACCAAAACGATATCGTATGCAACAATTTACCTGATAAGTGCTTATCGTGGTAAGAGTCGTCGCCATCACTTACCGGGTAAGACTCTTGGTCTTTGTCTCGCTCTTACCGATGTAAGATTCTTGGTCCTTATTATATTCATTTGATAAGGTAATGTGACTTGGTAAGCACTTACTCGGGTAAGCGTTTGGTAAACGACCCCTTAGTATAATAAATGCAATTCAATTAACTCATTTACACAGCTCAAAACAACTTACTTTCGTTTGCTACTGAAATCATGATGAATCAACTATGAACCTTTCTCAAACCACAAATACAAATGTTTATAAGTTAATTGTTCGAGTGGTCCGTACAATTCTCGAACTCAATTGATTTTCTTATATAGACAACTTTTGATTTGATGATATTTTTCTATAGTTCATTCAATTGGAATATTTCATGGAAATTGTTGATTGATCACTTTAGGTTCTGGTTTCTGGTTTAAAATTGATCTTTTAATTATTATCTTTTAATATAATCTTTATTATATTAATCATCCGCTTATTGAGCAATTAGCCCATCTGAGGTTTGTTTTGTCTTCGAAAGGTACAGGATCGTAGGTGAGACCATTCTGGGACTGAGAGCTATGAAGTATGACTACTTTGAAGATGACCCTTGGTCAATATAGTTTTTCTTTATGTAAATGTTGTAATTATATATACATATGTCGTCTTAAATTTGGTCTCCTGCGTCTTTATTTTGATGGATTTTTCATAGTAATTTTGCTATTCTTGTGTATGTTAGCTAGTTATGTTGTTTCGTCTTATATCGTGACACAATGTCATATGACCGTACGGGACAGGGATGTTACAAGTTATGGTATGAATTGGAAAAAAATTTAATAAAAAATGGCAGAAAATTTCTTTCTTTGAATTTATTTTTTTCATAATTTATAAATAATAATAATAATAATAATAATAAATTAAGATTTAATGTGAAAAAATTATGTATATTAGCATTTATTTGATAAGAGTAAATGATAGATCTTATATATAACGCCCTTTACCGTAAATTATATATATATATATATATATATATATATGAGACCAGATTCTTTTGAGAACCTATGAAATTATGATAACCTTGAGAATTTGTACATCATGTGTTATTGATATGATCTTTTTTCTATCTGAGACTAAGTTTTAAAATGTTGATTAACCTATATTTGTTTCACAATGTGTTTGTTTGACATGTACTCGGTTCACAATATGAACATTTTTTACGTGTTTGTAAAACAAAAAGTATACATAAAATGTTTCACGTTGTGAACTGAATGCATATGAAACAAACACATTGTGAATAATCAATACATTTTTTTATTAACCTGGATATCCAACCCGCTATACGAGCCGGCTAATCCCAGGACAACCACATGTTTTGCAGATAGCTCGGAGTCACAGCATTTGAACTTCCGTAGCCACAAGGGGACTTTTATTCCTCCTTGGATTTGAACCTGAGACCTTCTGGTACTTTTGACATTTGGAGCCAAGCTCAAACCAATCAGGTACCACCCTTGTGGTTAATAATCAATACATTAAATACTATATTTAAACAAAAAAAATTATGTGAACAAAATCTTAAAGTTGGAGTTCTCGTGAATCTCACAAATTTTAGTCTCAAATGATTAAACAGTATATATGTATATGTATATATATATATGTATGTGTGTGTACGTATATGTATATGTATATGTATGTATAT